CCACGACGTCCCACTTCTCGCACGCCGACACCCTCTCACATTGGTGGTTCTCTCTGTCAACTTTTCTCCGATCCAAGGTCACCAATCCAACGCTACCTCGAGAAAAATGCTAATATGGCAACAGCTTCAGTCCTTCGGCAGCCGGTCTCTCGCTGCCATCATCGCTCAAAACCGCACCGACGGCGTCCTCACCCCGTTGTCTCCGTCAACACGCTCCTCTCTCCCCGAGCCAGTGACACCAGCCACTGCAGCAACCACTCCTTTCGCTCCGCCGACCAAGTAAAGCCGGCCCAGAAGCACTCACACCGCATGCCACATCTTCTGCGGCCGCACCTCTCTACCGCCGCCAGCTTCGTCAACAGCAATGTCAAGACTTCACACCACGCCGGGCACGCCACGCCACGCCACGCTGTCTGCTGTCGTCGTTCCTCCGTGGACGGTGACGATAGCCCAGCGAACCAGCACCGATACCTCATTCACACCTCTTCCATACCTCACTGCCTGCTTGCGGCGCTCTTCTCTTGCCGCTAACCAAGTGGTTTCCACCAGTAAGCACCCACACCTCTGCTGCTGCCGCTAATCCCTCTCACTCAGCCGCTCAGTGCTAACAAGTGCTCACAATTTGACACCTCACTACTTGTGGCCGACACCCGTCACCTCCGACCGTCTTCAAGAACAGCTCACTCATACGCTCGACACACTGCCTACCGTCAATGACCCTCTGCATAGCGTCAACATCAACCACAGCGGGCACGCAAGCATCGAGACCTCACTGCCAACAACAATCTTCCATCTTCGCCAACGTCAACGACAGCGACAGCAGACACTCAGCACTCACACCTCACTCCTTGCAAAACGCCCTCCCCTTATCACATTTCTCGATCCCAACGGCATGCACACCTCAATACCTGGGGTTCCAGCAACGACGGTCAGCACAGTTGCCGTCGACACTGCTTCACTTCCGCCGACGCCAGCGACAGACGAATGCGAGCAACCCCGCCGCCCCATACATGCACAAGTCATCAGTCCCCACCATCAGCTCCCGCTGATGTTCTTGAGACCAGGCAGCAAGCACGCACCTCATCCAGCAATTGCGTAGGCCTCACACTTCAGACCTCACCGCCCGACAACATACAGCCCTCTCCTTCAAGCACCGGCATTCCTCCATCTGTCCTTGCCAACAGCCTTCAGCATTCCCGACGTTCGACTCATGTCATCAACAAGCCCCACCAACCTTCACACACAGCCAACAACGCCTAACGTCTCCTGGCCTCCTACGCTCAGGACACACCCGCAACAGCAAATATCAACACCTACTGACTCACGCTACTGTCATCACTTCGCGCTCGGCCTTCGGTCATCACCTCAAGTCACAGCTACCCCTCTTTCCCTTGACTTAACATTGTGCTTCACACCGCTGGTGCTTGCTCTGCACAAGCACTCATCCCCCACGTCACGCCGGCCCAGCGATCCGTCTTCGTCACCAATGCAGCTCCGAGGGTACCCATTGTCGAAACCACATGACCTTACCGATACTGACCGCAAATCCCGCAAATCCCGCAAGCTCCAAGCTTGCCCTTGTGTCACCGGTTTTGTGCTGCTGAGCTTTCCCTGCACATCATATCTTTGCTCGGCCAACCTTCACTCCACATCAGGTTCAACCACACTGTTCAGACGGCCTCAGTCCCGATGTCACTTCTCACCCTTCCGACAACTCCTTGGTCGACATCGCTCACCTCACCACAACGATCGACATCCTTGTCCCTGGCTGACCTCGACTCTCGAAACTGTCGAATCTTGGACCTTCACCAAAGTCCGCTCCCACGAAGACCTTCCATCTCAAGGTTCAACTGCCACCCACTTCCGCTCCTACCTCTGTCGACACTGGTCAGAACACCCCCAGAATGTGCTCCACCCTCTCAACTTTGCCGATCTTCACCCGTGACAACACTTCCCTGCCAGCTTCTCGGTGAGCTGCCAATCTCGCCAACAACGCGAAACCTGCGCTGCACCTTTCTCGGACGATCTCCAACTTTCCCTCGACGCGAATCACTCTCCAACTTATCACTCACTCGGCCGGCTTCGACCCTCATCTTCAACAGCACTTCTCAGCCGACTTGAATCATCATTGTCGCCATCATCAACCTCCCCCCAAAGTCCTCATACCACACATCCTCACTGCGTATTCTCCCACATCCAGCAACGTACAGACCCAGCGCCACACTCAGCCGACATCTTGGCCCATCTTCACCATACCTTACGACAATCCTTATCACGGCTCAACGGCGCCCTCCGCTTCCTTTCCAGGGCCAACTGTGATCGACTTCCGTTCATGGCCGTTTCGACCGACCTCATGTTACCACACCTGAATCTCTCGACACATCGGCTGTGCTCTTCCAACACCCATCGGCGCTAATTCTCATCCTGTGGCGCCCAGCTCTTTTCTCCAACCTTCTGTCCAGTCGTCCCACCGATCACGACACTTCATTATCACACGCAGGCCGTCTCCTCGTCACCCAGTCAACCTGACCCCCGATGGCTCTTGAACATCCTCGTGGACAATCTCAGGCCCAGCATAAGGCTCGGTTGACGCCCCTCAACAACAGGGTTTGTTCCCCCTCCACCGCCCATGACTCTTGCCCTTTTCCTCGCTGACACTTTCAGGCACAACAGGCCTTCCAACTGAATTGATGTTGGTTCCTTTTCGACGAAGGCAAGACATGTTGTATGGAAAGACTTTGGGAAGCTTTGCCAGGAGGACTTGCGAAGGGCTTGGTGGAAGGGTTGGTGGGTGGAAAGTCATTGTGGGTCATCGTTGTTGTAATGTGTAGATTATTGATTCAGCCGCCCGGAGAGACTCGGAAGTGGACACCTGGCTTGGATCTGGATCTGGATCTGGATCTGGATACTGGATTTGGCCTTCCTTGAACTTCCGCCTCCTCTCGAGGTCGTCGACTGGACTGGATTCTCAGTCTCACTTCACTCGACGTCGTCGCCCTCGTCACCCATGTCGCTAGTCTCTGTTGTGTCGTGACCCCTGAGTGCGTGGTTTTTGCTTTGTCGAGATTTTGTCGTAGTTGTATGCCTTGGGGGAAATTGTACCCAAGGATCGGTCGTAAGTTGACACCTCTTTGTTTTGGTTATATCTTGCCTATGTCCTGTCCTCCCTCCCATGCTATCATTTCTTCTCTTTCAGCTTCCCCATCCCCCTTCCCACTTCCTGCCTTCTGGCCTCCTTACTTCTCTTTCCCACTCCCCGCTCTCTCCTCTCTCCTCTCTCTCCTCTCTCTGATGCTTGCTTTTTTTCCTCCCTTTTCGCTGAGATGCCTCCAGATACGCACACTTGCTCGAAGGAAGTCATCGTCGGAGTCCGACGATAAGCTTGTCGCCCAGACTGTGGTGCACGACCGCCCTTGCTCTCTCCCAAGCAGATGAACGACTGAACTCTGCTTTGGAATCAACTCTGCTCAGAATCATCACCGAGTGTAGGCCGACCTCATCGTTCTCTGACATCCGCAACCTCGTCCGACTCGCCTTCTCAAAGGTGAATGGAGGCCTCAAGCTCGTTATGAAGTACGGTGAAGCGCCCTGTCACTGGCTCAGTATACAGTCCCCACTGCGCCATTGCTTTTGCCCTTGTCTGTAAAGTCAAAAACCGACCATCGTCGCTATCGAGACAGTCCTACTTCCTAAGCTGATGGTGGACTCGACTGTATATACCCTAAAGATGGTTGAATCGTTGCTCCGAAGGCGCTGTGCCTCGCTGATAGAACGTTACTCTCCCCGTCGTCGACCCTCGCGGCGCACTTGACAAGACCTGCCAATACATTGGAGCCCCTCCACGCACTGTTTCTCGCTCATGGGGCTCGGGTGATCGTCGTCCTGGATGTCGCAGTATGCAGTTGGACATCTGAGTTAGGTATATGAGACCTCTAAATTGATTCTTCGAAGGCTGTAAAGCGCATGCCTCGACAAGAGAAAGCATTGGAGCGCACAGGAGTACGGGAGATCCGAGATTGATAACTCACTCGCACACCCGATCGAGATCCAGACATTGCTCGTCTCATTTGGCATGTCTGTGGTCATACATTGGCGTACTGAACGTGGAAGAGGTCGGAGATGTGGGTTGCATCTATAAGTCGCTCATAATCGGAACAAATTATACGTTCCGGCTTTCCATATTCCCGGCCTTACCTACCTGCTCGGTGGCATGGTAATTATTTCTTAAGCCTAAGAAAGAACATCCCACAGAGCATGTAGGAATCGTGGCGGCACTCGGGGCGGCGGCACCGAGTAGTAGCCTTCACGAGGTGGACAGAGCACAAGACAAAGAAATCTAGTAGGGGGTTTGTTTCATGTTGTTAGTGACAGGCGCGAAAGAGAATTCGAATGTAGGGACAGTCAGGTGGAAGAAGCGTGGGAGCAATAGAAGACGAGAGATCAAGGTACAGGTTGACAGGAGGCTAGACATGGAGACAATAAGAAATCTGACGTGGGTTGCAAATGGTGGGCTTCCCGAATGTGGTTCTGACATTTTCCGAAGTGCCCGGGCAGAGGGTATTATATGGTACGAGACTACAGTCATGCGCAACTTCTACCTGCTTTTCGAGATTCAAGACCGTCGTCATGCTCGTCTCTGAGGAGGGTGTGCTGTAATGAGCTCTCCAGCCAGTGTCAATCTCCGATCCGGTTTCCTTTGAGCTTGCAGAGGCCGCCACCATTCCGCGACCGATCGCGCTCGCCATTTTGGTCCATTGGGGTCCTTAAAGCAACCTTCAAAATAGCGGAGAATCCGATGCTGCGAGCAGGAAGCCACTGCATTGCGCAGAGTGTGCCTGCAATTGTGGGAAGTACCGGGACGGCATGCACGATCGTTGATGTTGCAGGTGATGTTTCTTCGCAAGTTGCAGGCATCTCGTGTCAAAGAAGTCGTGGATCGGGCCCGGTGTACGGTGTGTGGTGAGAGTGACGGGAGACGGCTCGCTTGGTTCGATGCTTTGTCAAATCTCCGATGGGCCAGCCTGCGATGCATGTAGGCGAGGATTGATCACGTTGTCCATGATCCAAGTTCGATACTGCTCTTCGGACCACATGATGAGCCGCTGCAGGCCAGCATGGAGCTTGTAAATGCCGAGGATGGTCTCTGTGGTGCCAAACGGACTGCTGTCGTGGTAGATGACCTGCAAATATGTGAGCGTTGTAGAGCAGACGGAGGATGCAGCGAGACGACTCACAGCTTGGTCACCCCGATCGACGAAGTAGTAGACTTTCCATTCATGACTCTGAACGATGACTAGCGGCAGAGGTGGCAGCGGCGTCCCTTCATGTCCAGTCTTCGAAAGCATGCTGCGCAGGAACATGATCTGTGCCGTCGCCCATGTTTGAAGCTGGAGGACTGCTTCAGACTCATTGCCCCGAGCTGCTTTTGTCTCGATGCTGACCGCGATTGGGTTGAACATTAACGGAGAATAGCTGGTGTGGTTGACCTGCGGAACGCCGATGTCGCGAAGGAGCTTTTGGATTCTCCTGTCCATTCTCAGAGCGAGGCAGAAGTCCGCTCGTTTCGAGGATCTCTGGGTATCCTCGCTCTCTGCCCAGAACACTCCCGCCGTGGTGCTGCGACGTGTTAGCAGAATCCATTGAAACGTTAGTTGACAGCGTACATGTCTTCGCAGAACGTGGTCGCGCGATATGGAGAGAGCCGCTGCGCCCATTCAAGAGCTCTGCTATGCACAAAACAATTCCATGAGGGTTCCGCCGCGTTGTTGTCCTGACTCCATATTGCCCGCTCTTGGAGAAACTCTACCTCTTCGAGCGACATATCACGCCCCAGTCGCTGGCGCTCTCCAGATCTGTCCAATATCCGCTCGTCTTCTTCTCCGATGCCACTTCCGAGTTGCTGCTTCCACCCTTCAAAGCCCTCCGATATGACACCTCGCCCGGATTCGATTCGGCGCATGTCGATCGCGAGCTCGCGGATTAGCTCTGGCAGCTGGTTGAAAGGCGGGAGGGCGCGCGTGTACACCGGATAGTCGTCGAGCTGTCTAAGAGCCAGCATCTTGGGTGGACTTGGAGTTCGCTTTCTTCTCGAGCCAGCCGAGACCCCGCTTGCGCTCTGGGCTTGAGAGGACGCGCCCGACTCCGTGGACGGCTTGGATGAAGGAGGACGCAGCGGTGGTGCTGTCGCGAGTGGATGCCGCGCTCTCGGAGTCGGTAGCTCGTAAGCTTCTTCTGCATCTTCGTTGATAGCGATGTCCCCACTCTGGGAGGTCTTCGTGCGCTTTACGCGTGGTGTGGCGGCATTCGCGCTCATCTCGGCGAGTGCGCGCTTTCTGCTCTGTGCGAGTGCTGTGGTCGGTATCTGCTGGAGCCAGATATCAATTGTAGCGTCGGACCACATTGACGGTGCACACAATGTGTGAGAATGATGGAGTGTAGTGCAAGTATTAATACAGCGTTGTGTAAAAAGCGTGAAATCTTGTGTTGACGATGCGGAGTCGTGTCGGGATTTGTTGCCGAGCAACCCGCAAAGCGGGCGGCGCCGTCCGCCAGCTTCCGCCCCCGCGCTTCGGCGATCCCCACGGTCCGCGGCCGAAACTCAAAGCCTGAAGACCTCGAATCGTTCCTCCAAAATACATATTATATCTCCACGCCTCATCGTTACAGATCTTCGCCTGAAAGCAATGGCTCCGGACACCCATATGAGTTCTTGTGTGGAATCCAAATTCAGCCCGTGCGAGTTTTAGAAAAAGCAGCGGAATTGACCGCCGAGTCCTGCTACACATCCTCGTACTATCACACCACGTACACTGGTTCCATTCCTATCAGAACCTCAATGAAGTGGTCTTTGGGAGCAGTGAGAAGGGACTGCAATGTTGCATCATGAACAGCGACGCGGAAGCGAGAATAGCGGGCGCTCTGGCAGGGTCCTCGGTGCACCGCGCTAAGAAGAAGGCAGCTAGTAGAGGCCGAGAACAGCCTTCATGGTCGGAGCGAGCGCCGGTCGACCAGAGCACTGCTACAGCGACTTGACGCTTGGTTCGATATCCTCGAGTGAGACGCGGAGAACGACATCCTTAATCCAAGTTCCCACTGACCCTGTGAAGCAGCTCAAAGCGCTTGATCTTATTCAAGTCGTATGTCAGGACAGTTCACCGTTAATCTATCAACCTCATACTAATTGAATCGATTTCGGCTCGAAGCCAAATATGCCTACCTCGCCATCATCGGCAGAACAGCCAGACCCGTTCTCTCCCAGGACATAAAGACCTAGATAACTTAGGGCTTGGGCAAGCGGAAACTCCCAGACAACGCTATTCGTTGTCCTAGCATCAAGCCCTACATCCCTTTTGACCCTTGTATAAATCAGATTAGCAATTTAACTTGATACCGGTACAGCTCTGGCCATGCCCCTAACGCTCCCCTAGTTGATCGCAACTTGGCCGCGGTGGAAAGCAGCGCGAGAATCGCTCTACTGTCAACACTAGAGTCTCGTACACTTGCAAGAGGATAGGTTCTGTCGATTTAGTCTTGGATACTTTGAACCGTTCGAGCCAGGCTCGCACTATTGCGGCTGACATCGCGGAGCAACACGACAAGATACAGCGCCAGCATTAGCAGAGATTTTCTTCAGTGACTGTGGCAGGTGCGGTAACTTAAGAGAAGGAGAACACAAATTTTTCGGTAGAGCCTAACACCGTCCCGGACAAGCTCAGTCTCCACCAACCATCGGCACCGGACTAGAGCATCTGCATTTGGAATATGGCCATCCTCGGGCTCAGGACAGCGTTTCATCAAAAATGCGAAGCAAAATCAGGCACGTATATCTCAGCGGTTGCTGATCTCGAAGCTCATTTCTATGCGTATGAGAACAGCAACTTCGAAACTTGGCAGACATCAACCCCGTCATCTCGATTAGCAGACAAAGGATTTGGTCTCCCCAAAGCTACTCAGTCTAGAACTAAGCTGCCATCGTTTTAAACACGGTATTAAAGGTCAACTCTGCTGATGTCCAGGCGGGAATCGAGGCGATCATTGACTTGAACGCGGTGTTCAGGCCTCTGTGGCAGAACAGCCCAGCATCAGATGTACCGACAGAGCCAATACCAGAATAATCGCCTGAGTGAGGGCGCTTCAAGTCCTTCTGCTACCAGTACTAATCATTGCTCTAAGCAGTCTCGCAGTTTACATCGTCAGACGCGTGGTATAAAGAGCAGAACTGACAGTCGCTTCCGTATAGTATGGTCCCATTTCAGGACGGCTCACCGCCTTCAATGACACGATGATTGGTTGTGTGCTTCCTCGGCATCCATTTGAATCTTGAGTGCAGTCTTGTGATGCTCGAAGGCGGTTGATCCACACCTCAACCACCCTGTCGCTGGTTGACCTTGCGCGAGCGCCAGGGGAAGGAAGTTGGCGCTTGTACTCTCGCACAGTACACCATTTGACTTTCAAACGGGCGACTATGACTGTTACTGTCGGACCAATTGAAGCTTATCCCAGGTGACAACAGAGCCAACAAGGGCGACGAAACTTGAATGCACTTTATACTTTGTCTCTTTCCGCAACGGCGCAACATCCGAAGCAACGCCGTGAAAGCTTTCTGGGCTTCTCTCCCAATGGCTTCATGTATCAAGACACCTATTGTTCCCTATATATAAAAGGTCAATGATTCTTTGCAACGAGACGCAGTCTTACTAAAGATCTGGACTGGCTGGAAACCCTCAAATTGGATTGGTGCATTCGCCGATCCGCACGCAAGTCTCTCAGTCTCTCTAACAAATCTTTGTCTTCCATCAGCTCTTTGAGACCGTAAAAGACGAGGACGAAGATTTCCTGTAGCACACCAAAGTGGTTTGAGCTCTTTCCTTCAAAGCGCCTGTGAGCGTTGCTGCACGCACAGAAGACTCCGACAATTTTGTCTATTCGAGAGCCGATGCGTTGGATATTCTTTTGTGCGGGAGAAAGAGGTGTTTAAGCGACGCAAAGCAGCGAAAGTCGCTATGTAGGTGACTCTCTGTACGCGGGAAGATGGTTAGAGAAGGGTCCCCACTGACGGTATGTCGAACAAATTACCTGGGAGGAATCACAGTCACTAGCAGGCCCGGACAGTAGCAAAATGGCGAAAGCACGTAGGTGTTCTATACGGTCAATCAGTCTTGTCTCCTGCTTTGATTATAGCTTTGTTAGCATCTTCGACTAGTATAATATGGCCGCTTTAGGTACGAGAGGACTGCTTTAGAAATTTGTGCAGTGAGATAGGAGGCGCTCGAAAGGCGAGACAGAAGATCCTAATTATAATCAAACCTTTCCGACGCCGTCTCCATTGGATCTTGCGCCGCAGACTACTCGTTCCATGCCAGATGTGTACAGACCGACAACATTGCAACAACAATCTACCTTGCGTCGGAGAGCGCCTCTGATAGGGTCTTTCGGCAATCACTTTTGCGGCATAGGCCCGCTTACAGCGAGTTCTCTTCCACCTGGCTGACTTCTGTTGTGATCATATCATATCAGCGCTGTGTAACAATGCCTGCCACGTCTCTAACGCTGCTTGCTAGGGTGAGTGATGTCCGTACAGTCCCTGCGTAAAGTACGTTCTATCGGATGTGGCGGGCTGTAGAGGCAAGTTAGATACTAGCAGGTAAGGTACGCCTCCAAGCTGCCGGACTTGTCACAATGACGTCCATTGAAGGCTTCCCAAAAAAAAAAGAAAATGGAAAGTCCGGGGACCACTCGCCGTCCGCCACGTGAAACATCCAGAAAGGCAGCCACCGACACGCATTCTTCTGAATGGAAGCAGCCCACGGAACAGGCTACCAGTGGGCGAGGGCGTTCCATGACATGACTTGTGGCCTCCATTGAGCTCCAAAGCTAGTTGTCGACGACTTACATAGGCAAGGAAATAGTCACCGTTCGGGGAAGGACCAGAGAGCCGGACAGAATCTCTGTTCGAGTTGTCTTGGGTTTGCCGGATGGAGGAGACGTGAGGTTGTTTATCAGTGTCAAGATCCAAAGCGTGGATCGACAAAGACGTTGCTTCAGAAGTTCGAAATTAGCGGCTCGAGATGCCATGAATGCTGTACGCCGCCGCCGGTCTCTCTTCAGCTTCGCATTGACGCCGTCTGTCTGCTCTGCTCTGTGCTATTTCGCTCCCTTCGATTCGCAATCTCGCAGTCCCAGATTCATACCAGCCATCCTTTGATTCCTTCTTACTGTGTGGTATTGAAAGGTAGACTGAGTCTACGCGAATTTCGGGTGGGCGATCTGCGTGGCTTCGTCGTAACGACACTTTTGAATAGATATTGCGATTCGCGGCGCAGAGCGAACACCTCTTGCTCACATGCCAATGCATCTCCCGGTAAGCTCGCATCTGCCGGCACCGGTACTCCAATGAGGGTCGAGATACAAGACTGTCCGCGCCAACCGGATCAAAGGGACACAATCCTTAGCTTGTGCAGAAGAGATAAGGTAGTTCTGCTTCGCCGGAGTGAGTCCAACATTGACGGGCTTTTGTTTCGCCGCGCAGACCTCCCAGGAAGATTCCATGTTCGTTTTGGGTTGGAAGAAGTAATCTTTGTCTTGACATGCAACAAAGCCATTGTTCGTGGCCCGCAGCATTCCACACCGCGTACGGAGAAAGCAACAATGCAATTGTTCAGTGTTGAGCATCGCAAGGCGTCTGGTAACCGATTCGAGCACGGATGTACACTGTAGAGAATTCGAGCACCCTTCAGTCGCAAGTGTCACTGGAGTTCTGGCTGTTGCGATATGTGCAGAGATACACGATGCTGCGCAATGCCAATTTTGGCATTTGTCGGCCATGGCAAGCTTGTTCGGATGGAGCTCTGCACAAGGTTAAAGAACATGCGGACACAATGACACGCCCAATATGCTAGAGACTCCTGTCATTTGATATTGAAACAACAAGCGACACTTCACTGCCGGGATGCAGTCTTCCTGTTAGCTTCATCGTATTGTCCTTTCTGTCCGTCGGCCTTTCTATCCCGCACATCAGTAGTCTGGTGTCACTATGGGTATCATGTCCATAAAAAACCAAGCGTCTGTCGTTGCTCCAATTTGTACTTCTTTCAAAGCGTTCCGTATGCAGATAAGAGTCCATCGGATATGGCTTGGTCGAGCTCGAGTAGGAGGGCTTTTGAAGAGGATTCACAGCGCAGGGACATTGGTCCATCAGCATTCGTTCGTAGACTGCTGGCACACTGGCACTACCTTCATTCGTCGCTCGGCCATGAACCAGACCAATGGAGTTTCCGACTTACATTCCATTCCATACTGAAGTGTTAACAGTCCACCACGTCTCCGCTTGCACACTCTGCCCGGTGTCGTCAGCTTGGTAGTGCCTCGTTGTAGGGCCTTCTTCAATTTCCTGTTTCCTAG